CCTCAGATTATTTTTACCAAGTTTACTTCATCTCGACAACACATTAATTAACAGTGTGGTTTAAGTATTGGCTGCTCTAATGCTGATCTTCTGTCGTTAATAAGATATTCAGTACATCACTCAATAACCCATAATAGCGACACCCAGACAGCAACCCTTGACACCTCCATAACATTTAACAGAATCTGAAGTCGATCCTCACACACAGAATACGATAAAATAAAATATTAAATCCTTTACATAAACAGTTGCTACTCTTCTTGATTCTCTTTAATAACAAAACAAATGAATAACTAAGAGATCGTAACGTTCATCCTCTTGGTGTTGTGTTATCAATTGCAGTTCATCTCACTTTATTACCATTGAGGATCGTTTGTGTTGAAGGAGACAGTCGATGATATTTTTGTTGGTTGAGTCATAAGGCCACAACAAAGGACATGAGGCTTTATCTTCATCTTGTGTGTTTAGGTTTGATGTTGACAGTGCAGACACGAGATTGTACTTGTGTTGTAATTTTACCTTGTCGGACATGGCAGGTTTGGAGCGATAACAACTCTTGTTTATATGTTTTATTTGTAAAAATACAGCTATACAATACATATTAGATACTTCAGTTCTTACATACGTGACTAAACACATTCATCAAGGGTCTAAAGTCTTACCCGGCTGGAGTTACACCTCAGAGGTTCCCTGGCCGGGCCTGACCCAAACACTAACTCTGTATCTCAAGTCTTTGGCAGCTTCCCTTGTGCACTCTGACACATCCTCCGCACACTCTACAGTGATCTGGATATTTACCTAACTTAATCCTTATTTAACTCAGTCACTCATCTGAAACATTCCTTGCTGACGTGTGGTTTGTCAGGAAGGTCAGCGATGCTTTACTAAGATATGTCACTAAGGTAACATTAGGTGTTGTGTACAGTCAGTGCACCTTAACTCCTCCATATACTCCACATGGTATTGTTCCGCCTCCCTCACAGTTATCAATTTCTTATAATGATTCAAATAAATGAAGAAATTTAGTAGAGTTAAGGCGCCCGGACTATACAGCACCGCGGGGTCATACATAAATTAATAACAATATGCGTCGTCGGTGAAGTTTCGTATCATTAATATCTGGACAGAATATGTTGTCGGTAAAGGTAAGCAACTATCTAAGTCATTTTCCGAAGAATTACTACTACTGGTGTAAAACTGCTTCATGCTTGACAATCCTCGACTGACGCAGACTGATTCTGTTGACCCAGCGTATATCAGACGAGCCTAATGGAAACTTCTGGCTTTGTGTGGGTTATATACAACAAGGACATTAATGTGCGTCTATAGCTCTCTCCGTAAGTGAAATTAAACTTGTGATCATAAATTCAATAAGCTATGTAACACGCATTGTGAAGTGGTTTTAACTCAACTCTATAATTTCTAGGATATCTTATTGGCGTCGTAGAAATGTGTCGTAAAACCCCACAAAAAACTGAACTTCCACTCAGCCGTTGTACACATATGCTAGCCTAGCCTCGTAAACTACTGTACTGCTGGATTATTTTGTGGTGATTCTCCTAATACATGCAAGATGGACTGTGATATAAAATAACAACATTTAATATACGGTTTTGATGACTGGTTAAAAACAACTGGTCAAATTTCAAAACCATTTCAGTAGCGTGAATTCATGGCACAAGAAAAATTATATACGTCTTCAGTTGTACCTCTAAGCAGTTAACGAAATCAATTTATTACAGACATACAAACAATTCCGTAATGAAGTAAAGTAGTACATATAAACGTTTGAGCATGTGTTGAAATGACTGATTCGTGCTGTGTCGTTTGCTCACACTACCGAAACGGGCGAAGAACACACCCGAAAAAAAATACACTAATACTTTTCCATCAACGTTTAGGCGCCCAGCTGGAGCCAGGGAACAGATAATGGGACCAGGAGGAAGGTATACTGTACCAGGTCACACATAAATATTGATTACAGGTATATACTGACTCGACAAATGTTTACATGTTTTTTCTTTCATTTTTTTAAGAAACATAGAGTTGGCTAGACTATAAACTCCTCACGTTACATATCCTTACAATTTGCTCACAAACAAAAAAATGTGACGGACATCTAGAACTATGATAGTATAAGAATAATCTGTGTATATATTGTATGATTTATACATAGAAGTACAGGCTATAATTACGTCACATGCTTGTATATGTCACACACACACACACACACACTCACACACGTATATCTGTAGTATAAATGGTTACAGTACTTGTGTCACATAGTTCCTAAGGGAGGTGTGGGAGTAGCCATTGTCTTTACCACCTTAAAATAGAAGAGCTTCACAAATATATATATATATAGATATATTTAAGGCTTTAGTTCCATCATCACGTCTCAGATCAAGATGGTGAGACACTGGTTGGTAACTCCACAGGCTCAGAATATAAATATGGAAATCGCCTTCAGAAACCTTTGGTATTGATAACTATATACAAGAGTTACGATACTGTTATGAAAGCGGTGAATAACGTATACAGGAGAGAGAGAGAGAGAGAGAGAGAGAGAGAGAGAGAGAGAGAGAGAGAGAGAGTATAAGTAGATGATTTATGAAGGCGTTAAGGATATAAGTAGTCATAAGGACAGGCAGAAAGTAAAATACACCAAGAACACAAAACGGCGATCTTAAACCTATAAGCTCTAGGGACAACATCTTCACTACTCACTGGAAACACTAAGATATAAATACAATTCAATACAATACAGCTCTCAAAGTATATAAATCCTAAAACATACAAAATACACATTACATAATAAAACACTAATCATTTGGTATTCATAAGACAAGTGCTTAACGAGACAGTCCCGGCATACTACTGCTGCTGCTCTGGAAATAATGTATAGGATAGGAGAAGATTTTGGTCTTATTTTACGTTCTCTAATTTCTCGTGGATTATCTATTTCTCTCTCGCTATGTATACCTGTTGCTGTCTCTCTCTGTGTTTCCTCTATTTTCCCTGTTTCTTCTATTCTCTCTATTTCCTCTATCTCTCTCTATTTCCTCTATTCTCTGTTTCCTCTATTCTCTCTATTTCCTCTATTCTCTGTTTCCTCTATTCTCTCTTTCCTCTATCTTCTCTCTATTTCCTCTATCTCTCTGTTTCTCTCTATCTCTCTCTCTCTCTCTCTCTCTATCTCTCTCTATTTCTATCTCTCTCTCTATTCTTTCCTCTATTCTCTCTCTGTTTCCTCTATTCTCTCTGTTTCTCTATTTCCTCTAGTCTCTCTCTATTTCCTCTAGTCTCTCCCTGTTTCCTCTATTCTCTCTCTATTTCCTCTATTCTCTCTCTGTTTCCTCTATTCTCCCTGTTTCCTCTATTCTCTCTCTATTTCCTCTGTTCTCTCTGTTTCCTCTATTCTCCCTGTTTCCTCCATTCTCTCTCTATTTCCTCTATTCTCTCTCTGTTTCTCTCCTCCGTAAAAGCTGTAATAGCGACTAGTCATGAGGAGGGCTAGAGGGGGTGGCAGCAAGAGTTGTCCTACGCAATAAACTCCTCATCATCACCACGCAGACTTGACGCACATTAGTTATATATTTTGTACACAATATTTACATAAAACTTCTCACTTAAAAGGAAAATGATGTTACAATCTTCTTATGTTCATTACTATCTCAAAATTCTTTTCTTTTATCACCCTTACCTCTCTTAGTGTTCTCTTGTTTATGAAGTAAGAATCGTGTACTGTAATGATAATGTTCTCGTAAGGACAGCAAGGAATTCTAAGCCATACACTAACTACTCAATAAACTATCTATACCAATGTGTTGAAAAAATATGACTCAACGGACGAAGGATTTTGACAACCCTACCGACACAACAGGAGTCACAGTGTTCATTCTGTAATTCATCGATCACCCCAAGTATAGATAGTTTTTGTGAGTACCTGTACATATTAATTATAAATACCTTTTCATATTCCATCACATCTCAGAAAAAAAAGTCACATTCACAAAATATTCATATTCATTAACATTATAAATGCCTAGTGTTTGGTTCACTAATGCCCCATAAGAACATCCAAATCCTTTTATTCGTCACAAAGTTTTTTAAGAGACAAAACACAAATATCCACAAAGACAGGATATGAACATGATATTAACAGAATATAAACAGGATATAATTTTCTTTACCATCATAAACAACGAGTAAATACGTTTTTCTTCATGACCACTGACTAATATTTTGATTTGGGGAGTTGATATAAAACTTAAAACTGGTTATAATATTTGGCATTAATTTATAAAGCTAGAGGCTCCATTTGTACAACTGTATAACTAATTAATTCATTGTATAACTCATTAATTCACTGCATGGAACAATGTATAACTCATTAATTCACTGTATGGGCCTTGTATAACCCATTGTATAACTCATTATATACACCGTCACAGAGCCACGTTTGGTAGTTACTTTAGGAGTGGGTTATTATACAGCCGTGAAAACACCACCTGTAAATGAATAACAATACATTCAACAACAGGTGTCAATGAAGTGATGACTCTAAGCCACTACTATAAATGACTAACCACACCTGAACCACCACTAATAATGAATGACCAACCTTGAACGATAACTGTAGACGTACACTGCCACGGTCGTCACTTCATACACAAACAACATAGTACATAACATTGATGAACACTGGAAGAGCTCCAAGCGCATTCTTCACGTCACATATAAAATCACTCTTGTTTTTATGTTTTTTCTTGATACACATTTGCACAATACTACATTTAACGTGTTTAATATAAGCACGATAACATTGTGGTCACATATAGGTAGAAACCTCTACACCACGCCTGTTATAAATGGAACTATGGAAATGTCTGTTTTCCTCGACTCCATACGGCACATTTCTAGGTTGTATGTTGTTTGGTGGCGAGTGTTGGATATATCTTGTCCTATCCTTTCATTTATAATAAAAGATTCTGCTTCGGTATATATATATATATATATATATATATATATATATATATATATATATATATATATATATATATATATATATATATATCAAATGACACTGACATTTCTTCAATCAATCACTTTCACATTGACTTATGACTAAAAAGTAGTGTTGTTAACATTGACCAGCTGTTGTGAGAGACAAAGATGACGTCGTTCGGTAGCGTCGACACTGCCAGAGGTACACTTTGGTGAGCTGCCTCCGTATAGCTACCACATCTCACAACAGTTGTTATGTACATGAAAAATAAAAACAAAACAAAAGTAAAGCAAAAAAGTGTCGCCAAGGTGGTGGGGGAGGAAGGGGGGGGGGGACGCTTTAACAACACCTGTGACGTCAACTACAAGTAAGGAATACCATATCCAAGTACTGAAGGTAAGTGAGTCAGGTTCAGGTAAGAGTACAGATGTTGGTGAATTATTTTACATTCAAGTGACACAACATTTAGTAAATGACATCACATGCAAATGAGTGATGCAAGACACAGGTGTGTGATGTTACGTGAATTTTACCAACATCACTACCAGGGTAAGTTATGTAACGTGCAGGTAGGTGACGTAACTGGAGCTTCAGAAGAACGTTACATACAAGTCAGTGATGTAACGTGTAAAGGACGTTACAGTCATAATGACTTGACCTTCATATAAGATTATTGACGCCACATCAGTACCCACATTAACAGTCCAGGTCTGTTGTTAACTAAACATTGTGGAGGTTGACAGCAAAATATAACTCACAGGTTAATGTTATTTTTTTGCATCACTTGTGATATAAGGTGAAAGAACTCAGCCTATTATAACATGTTACTCATTAAGTGACCAATAGTTGTGATGTGGTTTTGGTTCCCATTTATCTCAGGAATGATTAAGACGTTCAGGAAACCTTAAGCACAATGTGTTGTGTCGAGGATGGCCGAGCAGGTGTGTGTTGCTGACAGCCCAGCAGCATGGCCGTCGAGGCAGCCTACTGGATAAGGTCCGGGAGCCGGGGTCCTGGAGACCTTCCGTTCCTGACAGTGAGCTCATCGCCACTGCTACCGCTGTTATTGCTCAGGTTGGGCCTGGCGTTGGTAGTGGTGACGGCTGTAGAGGGCTCCTTGCTAAGTCCACACTGGGACGTAGTTCCCTCCCCGGACTCTCTGTCTCGTCGGGTCATGCGGGATTTCGCCGATGTCCCCCGCTGACGAAGGGGAAACATAGAGTTCTCAGGTCTTAGGGCGTTGTTGACCTCCATCCTGGCGGCGCAGGTGCACGCTTTCATGAAGCTCTTTTTGAAGTTGTCACTGAGGAAGGCGTACAGGATGGGGTTGAGCGCCGAGTTAATGTAGGAGAGGCAGGAGGAGATCATGAACAGCACCACCATGAAGTTACTGTGCCCCTGTTTTGGCGTGCTGAGGATGAGGGTGAGCTGCAACACCCAGTAGGGGAGCCAGCAGATGACGTAAACTGTGATCACCGTCAGCACCAGCCGGGTCACCTTCTGCCGTGACTTCTTCTTCTCTTTAGACTTTGACTTGGGTCCGACGGACTTCAACTTGTGGAGAACTAAACTGTAGAAGATAAAGATGAGAGTAAGAGGGATTCCGAAAGCAAGAGCGAAGGAATATCGGATAAAGGCGATCTCGCCCCTCACTCCTTGACTCTCTGGCCAAAAGATATTGCAGTTATCTAAGCCGTTGTCCTGGAGTGTGTTGGAGTACATGAAGACTGGCACGATCATGAGGGCAGATAAGGTCCAGGCCGTCAGGGACACCAGCTTGGAGATCATAGGTGTCCGGAACCTCGGTGAGCTGATGGGGTGACAGACGGCGATGTACCGGTCAGCGCTCATGATGGTCAGGAAGAGTGAACTGGTGAACTGGTTGAGGGACGTCGTGATCATGTACAACTTACACATGATTGAGCCGAAGGGCCAGTAACGCAACATGGAGGTGGTCATCAAGAAGGGGATCCCGACTACAAACAGCTCGTCAGCGATGGCAAGATTGAGAATGTACAGATTGGTGACCGTCTGCATCTTGGAGAACCTGGTGACTACGTAGATGACGAGGGTGTTGCCGCACAGACCCACCAGACACGTGATGGCGTAGAACATCTGTGTAATAACGATGGCCGCGATGCTCATCTCATTTTTGCCTCCCGTGAACAGCCCCAGAGTGCAGTTGGATTCGTTGAGGAAATCTGACCTGTTGTAGAGGTCACCATACAACAGATAAGAGCAGTTGAGAGGGATGGTGTCCTCTGGTTCACTAAGTGTGTCGTTCTCCATCGTTCTCAATTTGGTTGCCTTTGTTTATATTATGCAGTAAAGGCAGTACCACCACACCACAACAGGGAGTCTATCAGAACGAGAAGATCATTGTTTTAATGTCTTTATGAATTGTTCAATGTAGAAGCTGCACTCTCAAGTTCACCACACGAAAGCGCCCATTGCATGACACCTGTAAAAGAAAAAAAAGAAGGATGAGAACAAACAGAAGACAAAAAAAATATTTTATAATCTTAAGAACTAAATTGTCAGTACATTTATTACTTCTTACACTGATGTTCTACTTTTTGCTCATAAATCTGTTTTGGATTTGTTTTAATTTTTGTTTTCACCTCTATGTCCAGTCTTCCAAAATCCTTCCTTCAACTTCCATTTTCTTCCTAATTAATTTCTTAATTTTTGGCATCACAGAACTCATTAGCGAGAGAGCTGCCTCAGGATCGCCTTAGTATGAGTTAAGTTCTCAAAATTTTTCATGATGTAATGTGTAAGTCATTTGATTCCTAAACATTATTTTATCTCTTCTCAGAGTCTGTTTGTGTGTCTGTTCGTTATACTCGGCTACGATTATGAAGATAGATAACGAACTGAAATTTTTGCTGTGAGATTTTTCCATTCTATATAAGTAACAGAAATTCCTTAACTTTCTCACTGATAAAATAATGAAGAAGAGTGAGTGAAGACATCAGTAAACTTGACTCACGTGTAATACCCAGAGAGGACAACTTGTGTCTCTGTCTTCCTGAGATACCACAACTTCTACACCACAACTTGCCAGTTTTATCTTACGCGAGAGGATACTGTCGCTCGGGGTAGGGTCACCTGCCCATACTATTAATTACTCCACGTTAGATAGTATTAAATTTTTATATAACGAACGAATGGAAGAACTACTGTTTATACCACACGAAATCGTCACAGTCCTGGCGTAAACTTGCGTATTTTTAAACCATGCTCCACCTACCCATGCGTGTACTTCAGTGAGCTGTGAGACATGATACTGTAGTGTAATCAGAGAGCTTTACCCAGCACGATACTTTACAGTGTACCAACAATAATAGGCTGAGTGGGTTAAAGTATTTTGTCACAGTGTAATTATAGCGTGTACCTGTATAAAGATATTCAAGCTGCAGGTGTATTGTATTTTACATGGTATATATTTTATAATGTTAAAGAGTTGCACAAATTATGAGAATTTTACCGTAAATAACTCAAAAGGTTTAGTGTTTGGTGGTGAGTGAACAGTGAGGGGCCATAGAATAGTGAACCTCATCATACCAGCCTGTGGTGTAGTTGTGGTGTACTGGTGTGTGACGATGCTGATAGTGATGGTATATTTAACCCGCATCGACTCTGTTGTTATGCTATATTAGAGTTACTTCTTTGGCCTATTGAGAATTATATATTTTTTCCTGCGGTAGTCTTGGTTCTTGTGTTTCTGCCATTTAAGACACCGCATTGATTATAGTTATAGATTCTGTTGTCTTTCGGGTATAACTTCTCAGTCTTATGAATATTAGCTCAGGGACATCAAACACGGTGTATGAGTGAGAGAGAGAGAGAGAGAGAGAGAGAGAGAGAGAGAGAGAGAGAGGTGTGAAACAGAGAGAAAGAATAAAGTATGTACTAGAGAGAGGAAACAAGTAACAAATATAAAAATAAATCAGTAAAACCAGAACCTAGACACTCACTACTCTACCAGAACCTAGACACTCACTACTCTACCAGAACCTAGACACTCACTACTCTACCAGAACCTAGACACTCACTACTCTACCAGAACCTAGACACTCACTACTCTACCAGAACCTAGACACTCACTACTCTACCAGAACCTAGACACTCACTAGTTATATACAACATTAGACATCTGGTGATTATAACTAACATTGTATATTTATGTTTACTTATATCATTTACTGAATAAACAACCATAAACCTGGACTGTTTATCTGGTAGTGACGGTATCGGTGAGGTAAACTTCAGGGAGATCATCTAGATACAGGAACTAAGATATGGTAGTGTTGTGTTGTGTTGTGTTGTGTTGTGTTGTGTTGTGTTGTGTTGTGTTGCGTTGTGTTGTGTTGTGTTGTGTTGTGTTGTGTTGCGTTGTGTTGTGTTGTGTTGTAGATAGTCATGTTAAGTCGTGGTGTGTGTAGCTGCTGCCAGACACCCGACCAGGAGGGGAGGCTTAGGTCTAAATTTGCAAAGCAGCCAAAGGGAGTCAGGAAACACGTACAGGTCTTCATCAGGCAGTGTGTCGGATGTGTTGCCCGTTCCCCGGGTCTTACAGGTGAAGCTCTCCTGTTATCATCTGTCTCACCGCGGGATAATTTTCTTCAAGAGGAACTGCGCCCCCCCCCCCTCCGGCTGCTGCATTGAATTCCATTATCAATCACAAACTACAGCAATTTTTGGTTCGGAATCCGGCAGATCTGGCTCTTTGTTGCCGGCCAGCTGTTGCCGCCACTCAAGTGCTGCCCAGCGAGACGAAGGTTCTCGTATAAGAACTTTACTCGGGTGAAATCTTATTAAAACAGAAACTTCTTAAAGATGGTCTTGACGTTATCTATAACTAATTCCCTCTTATATTACTTAAGTTTAGTGTATACAGTGCTGCTGCTGTTTCAGATCACTCCATAAGGTTATTGAGGTTGAAACCATATAAATGTTTGTGCCCCAAACACCGCCTGAGGAAGCAGGTCTCCCTCACAACACTAACATCTCAGCCGGCAATTGCCTAAATTGTGGTTCTTAGAACCTCGTACGTCACTTGTTTTCTGGCTGAATATATATATATATATATATATATATATATATATATATATATATATATATATATATATATATATATATATATATATATATATATATATATAGTAATGATGGTCTCAGTGTAATTTAAAAAGGTTTGGCCGCTGACTGTGCCTTAGCATAAGAGATGTGTCTCACAAGTCTAGGGAGAGATGTAACGTACAGTCTCTGAGTATCCTGGTCCAGGCTCACCTCGCTCTCTATTATAGCTGGAATACTGGTAGGATGAGAATATCTGGCCTCATTCATCTGGCCTGGCAACACGGAAGTGCTGCTTACTCCGAAACTGCTTCATGCAATTTATAGCTTGTGTTGAAGGTAACTGTGCCTGACTGCTCTTTAGAAACTGCATGTTAATAGAGCATCAGCTGTCCCTCGCTGATGATGTATCAGTAATGTTGCAGAATTTGGTAAGTAATGGAGCCAAGTTGATGAAGTTGTTCGTTTTGGATGCTTCAATTGCTAGGGTTATTGGCGCCGTTGAAACTGATGAAATTCCTCAATAAATACTGTGTTTGGGCGAGCACTCACCCCACCCCCTCCCTCCCCGCCATGAACTAGTGACTAAGGACAAGGGTTCTATACCGCAGCGATGGCTCACTCCACTGGGCGAACCCGGTTACCCCGACGGTGGCGCCACCAAGCGGCTACTAAGTACAGTATAAACAATAGTTGGTAGGTAAAGACTAAAGGGAGGGAGACGAACATTTGGGTGAACACATTGTTTTGTTGTCTTGTACACACTATTTCACCATGTACAATGAGATACACTTACTGTGCAGCGATACATAGTTCCAACAACACCAAAAGGAACAGAAATCTGCCTTTATCAGATGTCCAAAATAACCAAAGAGGTGAATCGTAAACCTAATTCTGTTACTAATAACTGTTCATTAGTTTTTGTGAATTCTTTCTTTCTTTATTACATTTATCATTTATTACCGAAAAAACAAGATTAATTCCTACATTAGAGAACTGTAATGCAATACTACTTTACTTCAAGCTCTTAATTAATCATCCAAAGAGACAGTTCTCATTATCTACAGGTAAAGCAAAAGAGCCTCACCCAGACAGACGTATTAGCCGCTGTCTTCACGTCCACATCTGAGGAAGAGAAGAGACATTAAAGACATTATAACAAACATCTATATAATAAACTAAGGGTGTATATGTATGTCTATGTTTATGAGACAAGGATTTTAGACATTAAGCAGTACGTAAATAACAACTTGGTATTGCACGTGTAAAAGTCTCTTCAGGATGTACTGATAGAGCTAGGTCGACTGGTGAGATGGGCAACGGGATTCGAACTGGCGACCAATGGGTGAAGAAATGAGTGTTATATATCCACTCAGCCGTCTCGTCCCACTTGGTACGCGTCATCACATAAGTAAGACGAGGGTTTAGAGATAATGTAATGAAAAGATGTTGAGGATAATAAGTGAAGCGTAAAGACTCTCCGATGATATGATGACAAGGAGGGGAAGGAACTCAGTCTTTGTAATTCATTTTATGTATATTAGTGTTTATGTATGTAAATGTATAAGTAGGAAGATATACATAGTCTCTTCATGTATACAAGCTTTGGTGACCGAGGGGAGGGGAGGGGGGTGGTCTCCGTTCATCACTAAATAATTAATCACAATGACAAGGGATAAATTATTGTACAAGAATTAATTTATTATTTTATCACTAACATCTTACTAAGCCGCTCGGCCAGTCTGTTCCTTATTATCAAGTGTTAGTGGAGGAAGAAACCCGTGTGTGATTATATATGGGGATTATATTAGTAAACATTTATATATAATGTTAAACTGGGAGTAATTATTCACTTGTACAGCTGGTAATAAATTACTCGTGTGTCAGGGAGTGAGAATGAAGGGCGGCGGCAAGTTGCAATCTTCTTGTAAACATATCTCGTGCAATATATATTTACCTGGTGAAGATTATTGCATCTACAATATTATCTAATTTGTTCACGGTCCAGGTGACAAAAAGACCCTTATCAAGAATCTTTCTGGCACCTCCTGGAGATTAATTATCCTGTACATCAGGTTGAGGCACCAGCTACCACCATCACAACAAAGTGTCGTCGCCTCTCACTGTGTTGCACCATGGTTGTCTGCCGCTTTAACGACTGTGCTTATAATGTTGTGTGAGGTTCCTTATATCATCTAAGACAGGGTAACGCTGCGTGAAGAAACACCTTATTGGTATATTGTTGATGATTATCTGCTCTCGTAACTACAGTATTGTAAGTCTCAGCTTCGAACAGGGAACTGTGTGGCGATGGCTCATGATTGGTCATCCCCGTGCATAAGTTGTTGACACAGTACAGTGGCAGGCAGTGAGCCAGAGAGAGAAACTGTACTTCTCAGAATACAGAAAGATGAGATAGCTGACACTTATGTTGACTACACCGTTGGTGAATGGATGACCCTCTGCTCGTCACACTTTCATCTGGTGGTTATGGTCGAGAGTCTTTATAGACGAGCTTGATCACAGCGGAGAGGAAGAGGTTGACAACTGATGATGTTTATGATGCGAGTTATTAAACAAAAAGTTTATTTCTTTCACAGATTTCATAGATGAAGTTTCTGGCGTTCAAGGTAACTGAACCTTGGGCCAATAGGACCTTATCTTGGCACTCGTGAGTATTTCTGCTGGGCTTGTCAAGACGACGAGTCTGGACTAATAATATTCCTGGAGAGTGATGGAGACCAAATAACACCTAAGGCTACATCAGGTGTTTGTAGCTAATCACATAAATGGATTACTTCAACATGTATAGAACTGCCGGACCACAAACTTGACACTGTTACTCTGGTTTTGTCTGTAAGATACAACAAGGAAGTATAGCTTCCATTCTTACAGACAAAGTAACCAGTGACGTAAAGACAAGAAAGTTGAGACATAAGTGTGTCTCTCCTGCGGCCTCCCGTACACGAGCAACCCGGAAGGAGACACCACCTTAAAGCCTCAAAATGTGTCTTCAGCGATATCCAGCCATTAAGTCATCAGACACCGCCGTTGAGGTTCTCGTCAGCCATCTCAGCAGGAACATCCTGGCGGGGATTATTCTTCATCCCGGGACTCACCTACATCACAGGTGATTGATATCACCAACTCGGTAACAAACCTGACCATTAAACCTGCCAGACCTCGCCAGGGTAACATGACATAACTGCCTGTTATACTGTAGTGATTTTCAGGCCTAAACACTGTGAGGTATTACCTGTTCTGCAGAGCAACACACGCACAGTCCCGCCACAAGTTGCCTACTAAGGAAACCCTAAAAAGTATATCGTGGGAGCAGCGGACTGGGTTGGCCATGACCACTGGAGAATCGGCCATTACTCCCAGGTCCGGGTGGCCGAGGGAGGAAAGTGGGAGAGGGAAATGTCTACATGGTTTGGATAAATCAAAAGGTAGCTGCCTCGACCCGCCTAAAGTTTGTGGCATGCAAATGCAGCAGAGATTCCTTGAACGACCAATGTTCGTGTGTCAAGTGTGGTCTGTCGTCCGCTGAGTGTTGTGGTGTGAGACACAACCTCGGAGATGTAACAGTGATGGCGACACGTTCTACAGGTAAACATTTCCACTCTACATGTAGTTGTAAGGAAGATTTATCTAACACATGAACACTGTTATAAACCACAATGTTTACTATTTAGGTCATTATTACAAGCAGCATCATTATAGCTTCTTTCGGTAAAATAGTGCCTCTCTTGGTGTGTGACGGCCATCTTGGGCTTGAGCTGAGTCTCTGGCGGCCTTTATTAAATTCTGCTGGACACAAATAAACAAACCGCCAACAACTACCACTACAGGTGTCATCGTCTCTGTCATCGTCTCCGTCATCGTCTCCGTCATCGTCGCCGTCATAGTCTCCGTCATCGTCGCCGTCATCGTCTCCGTCATCGTCGCCGTCATGACGAGTCAGTACACAGGTGAGTATATTATTTTGTTCTGCTGAATGGACTGAAAAACAAAACAAAAAACAAATACAGGTTAATGGCGGAACTTATTCATTTTATCCGGCTCACAAAGTCTAGTTTAATCAACCAGTCAAAGCCGCCACGGACTGTACGTGTGTCTGTACTATTACTACGATTACATGTAGTGTGTATATATGAATATGTATATACATTCACACGGTGTATATGGAGGCGAGGGTGTACGTGTTACAGTGTGTGGAGGGCAATGGTCGCCAGCACTCAGTGATGGGTGGCCGCCTAATTGGCTTAGCACTCTAATGACCGGATAGTGGAGCCTTCACCCTAATGACGACAGCCGGGTACACACGCACGCGAACTACAGCTAACACACACACACACACCTGGCCTCGCCTCTTCTTAATGTTTATATTATTATTTATTTATTCATGTAAGGAATTGAAATCTAGTTACAAGTGCATTTATGATACATATTGCATACATACACACGTACACAAAGTATAGTGTAATAATAAGCAGTATCTGACGATAATATGTATACATATGAATACGGGTGAACATAATTGGTCTAGTTCTAAATGTTTTCATTATATTTAATAAAAAGAGAAAGAAAGAATGAAAAGTATTATATAATCTCAACACACAATACAATGTTTATGTATAGACGTGAAACAGCGCTAAATACCACAGTTAATTACGGTCTGTATAATGCTGACAACAGACGAATATCAGAGAAAATAAACCTTAATCGTGACTCCCATTAAGTCAGTTTTACCATGAAATATCTTAAAGGCTCAGTTCATAACTTTTAAAAGCTTAGTATCCTCGTCTTTACTAACTCTCACGGTCAATAAACATTTAAGCCGATTCATTAAGCGTGACCTCCAGTTAACCTGTAATAGGGGCAGAGGCGGAGGTCAGGAGTTAATGATCAGTTCGCCTGCTGCTTCAACTCAACAGCGTGTAACTACTGACCAGCATGCGACCTTTTCCTTCCGTGGGCTAGTCAACACCTGTGTGTGTGTGTGTGTGTCTCTCAAGTTTCCTTAACCTTAACAGATTCTGATGCTCCTCCACTGTCAAAAGTTCTTCTCGATGAAACACTCAAGTTAAACAGCAAAATCGTGTTAGGATACCGGAGGCTGGGCCACCGTCAAGGAATAATAACCACTACCCCCAAAAATATTATTGGAACAAAACATAACGAGCAAGACAGCGAGCATTAGAGTGTGTTGTGAATATAGAAGATGCGGTTGAGGTGACAAGACTGATGGTAGAGTGTGTGAGGGGGGTGCGTGAGGCCAGCAGCTGACACCCACCACACTTATCATTACTGTAAATAGGTTAATAATATTACCACTTAAATATGAGAGAGGAAACGTCTCGTGGAAAATAAAAATTAGAATTGACTTTTTTGGGGTAAATTCATTAGTTATATAAAAGATCATAAAGACTTTGTCAAATTAACGCGTCATTAGGTGTAGATATATCCTATTACAAGTTGGAGCCTTCATTGTGTGTTTGTGGGTGTGTGTTGCTGGGTGTGTTGTGTGTTGCGGGGTGTAGTGTGTGTTGCTGGGTGTTTATGACTTGTGTTGCAGGGTGTGTGTTGTGTGTTTAGCTAGTATTAGTTATGATGCGCACCTCTCAAGCCTTCCTTTGTCCTGATCCAGCGTAAATTAGTGAACTAATGACCAGCCATTGTACTACGCAGGAGAGAATCAACTGTGCAGAAAGTTAACAATAATATAACTTCTCACATTCGGAGGTAAGTTGTAGGTGCTCTTATAGTTTCAAGATGTTGTGGTTATGTGGAGTATGTTGTTGTTATAGTGTGGAGTATGTTGTCGTTAAGTGGAGTATGTTGTTATGTGGAGTATGTTGTTGTTATAGTGTGGTGTATGTTGTCATTAAGTGGAGTATGTTGTTATGTGGAATATGTTGTTGTTATAGTATGTTGTTGTCATAGTGTGGAGTATGTTGTCATAGTGTGGAGTATGATGTTATAATGTGGAGCTACTGTATATAAGGATGGTATAGTGTACGACATAATGTTAATAATAAATATTTTGTACCAACTAAGAAAATTCCGACTTATCGAAAATAACATATCTCGGAACCTCTCTGTTTAGATATATAGACTGTATG